GGGTTTAGGGTCTGGGGTCTGGGGGTGGAGAAGAAAACTGAAACTGCTGAAATTATGACGTGGGTAGGGATGAGCTTTTAGGGGCTTATTTACCATAATGGAGAAGCAAATGCACAAGAAACTAGAAGATGAAATGGGACCTGTTTTTTGAGGGGTTGTATAGGAATTCATATTTGGAACTTAAACTCACTTAGCATAATCCACATATAAATATACATGGTATATAAGGTGCTTTCCTTGTTATGGTAACTTCACTTCAGTTCCTTAACAGCAAACAAGGCAAATCTGGCCCTGTGGGTTGGAGGGCTTTCGTTTGGGGGTTTGGGATTGAGGGCTAAGGGTTTAGGGTTTAGGGTTTAGGGTTAAGTTTTGAGGGCTTAAGGTTTAGGGTTTCAGTCTTGGGGGGTTGGGATTGAGGGATTTCAGACGAGGAATCTTGTTTCTTTGGGCGGTTGAACTGAATAAAACCACCCTGAACCCTAAACTATCCACCAAAGGAGGATGGAATGGTTCTCTACATTGGAAACTGTAGCCTCCTGGTTGATAACGTTGATCAACAGCTTTCTTCAGGGTTGGGGGAGTTAGGGTCTAGGCTTTGGGTTGAGGATCGCGGGTTTAGGGATTGTTTGGGTTCAGGCTTTGAGTTGAGGGATTCTGGTTGTAGGTTTAAGGGCCGAGGGACTTGGGGTGCAGGCTTGAAGGCGTGGGCTTAAGGCTTTTGAGTTCAAGTGGAAGTGTGGTTGAGGGGTTATTGGGCCTAGAGTTTCAGGTTTGTAGATTGTAGATGATCAGGTCCAGGTTTTAAGTTTTGGTTTTGAGCGTTTGGTTTCGGGATCTCGGGTGGCCCGTGGTGTCACTTCAAGGTCTCCCCAGCGGGACCCAATGTATACAATCACCAATATTCCTAAGGAACCTTCAATATGTTAACAAAACCATGTTCAAAAAGATAGGTTGAACTACTTCCATTCGAAAAGGATTTGTCGTGATCGCTGCTCCCGCTACTGCTTCTGCCATGGCGGCGAGTGCTGCGACTGCTGTCGATGCCGGTGCTAAAAGCAGGAACCCAAACAGTGGTAATACCGATACCAATGAGCAATCAGAGTGGCAGAAGCATCAAGGAGAGGAAGAACAACATTATCGCTCCGTTGAGGAGGGGGTACAGCACACTAGCAATACCCGGAAGAATCACAGCAACATCAGGAAAACTATGCGCACAAAGCCCCACTTGAAAGCCAGCCCATCTCCTCGCGTGCGGCGGAGCGCAATTCCTGATCGTTTTGGGCAAGGTTTCTGGTGCCGCACGGGGACAGGACCGGCGATTATGTGCAGGGTGTGTTTGCTAGCTTCACAGCACAAAGAGCTTGTCTCGAAACCTACTAGAAACCCCCCAAACTAAGATTGAATTTGGAAATGGGCCCTCTCAGACCACTCTCCATTTCATAGTCGAGTTCCATGATTGTTTGGGAGAAAACCCAACTTCCTCAGTCATCCTATATGATATATTCCCGTTTTCCCTAGTAACCCCCAGAAAGAATAGTATCACAGCCCAGCAGCCCTTCGAGCCTGTCCGCCTCAATTTTGCCACAAGGGTTTCAGGGTTTACGGGACTGTGGGCGTGGAACCCAAGCTCCAGCCTAATCTGCGGTTCGGGGCAACAAAGACCCAACTATAGCTGTAGATACAAGTCAAATAATTATAACCCTAATGGGAGACGCGGGGGCTCAAACTTGATTTATAGATACACTTTTAACCAGGTTAGTCTCACCCTGAACAGCCAGGTACGAATCTTCCCTAAACCCCAAACCCTGAACCCAGCGCCCTGATGGTAATGTTCCATTCCTTCTTTCCATAGGTACCATACGCCACGCAATTTCAAGCCTAAGCCCTAACCCTCACGAAGCCTTAAACCCTCATTAAACCCCAAACCCTAATTAAACCCTAAATCAAACTCTGCACCCGAATTAGACCCTCAACACTAACGAAACTCGACACCCTAATCTAACCCTAAACATCCCTAAACCCTTCTTAAACCCTGAACCGTACTGAAACCTAAGCCCCCAAAAAACCCTGCTCAAACCCTAAACCCAAAGTGAACCCCGAATCCCTAATCAAGCCCTAAATCCAAATTGAACCCGAATCTCTAGTTAAACCCAAGCCCCAAACCCTAAACCCTAAACCCCAAAGCCTAATCAAACCCAGATCGAACCCGAACACCGAATTAGACCCTAAACCAAGTGCTCCCCAAACCATGCAGGCCTCCGGGCCCGCACTGAGGTAGCCACTCTTGCCCTTGCAGGGTTTAGGGATTAGGGATTAGGGTTAGGCTTGAGGGTTTAGGGTTTAGCGTTTAGATGTTGGGGCTTATTGTTCAGCTTTAAATACCTTACTGGGGACCCCTATAACTTTTGGTTAGTCCCTACATGCCCCTAGGGCCCTAGGTTCCCTAGCGGTACACCCTTTTTCAAGAAACGCAAAATCCAAACGGCCTCAGGCCCAGACTGTAGACTTGCTTCACTGTTTGGACACCTTTGGTTAGCTGGAAATGAAGGAATGGAAAAGAAATTGGAAACTACTCTAGCGTTTTGCTTCTTGTCCACACCCTGACACCTAAACCCAAAGCTCTAAACCTCAACGCCGCACCGAATTCTTAAAGTGAAAGCGCTTTAAAACCATACGCAACCCCTTTTCGACGTATTCAGGCCTTCGGCGGAAGCGCTGAAGCGGGCGATGCAGGGGAAGGGGGCTCCTTTGACTCTCCCAAGTTGTGGGTTTGGGGTTCAGGGTTTACGGTTGCATTCTTCGGGTTTGGGGCTTGGAGCGTGGACTTTAGGACGGGCTGGTGAGGAGATTTGAGGATTGAGATTAAGTCGAAAAGTGGCCCTGTTCGCGGTGGATTGTTCAGGCTTGAGTGCTCATGGCCCTGAACCCCACGCGTAAGGCGTCGTGTTGTGAGCTTAGTGTTGCAGCGCTTACGATCTAAGGATCCAGATTAACAGTTTGCCTTAACTTTCCAATGTAGTACCTGCTTATGAGTCCTATAGTGGTAATCCTGAACCCAAACTCCTCACCAACCCCCCTTAAACACTGCTTAAAGGTGTCTGCAATAAGGTCCGTATTGAAAGGTGTGGCCGTGAGCTTTTGCAAGCTGGCCTTGGGCCGGCATGTTGTAGAGTTGGAGTTTAGGGTTCTTGTCAGGGTTTAGGGATCCAATTTGATTATATGGTTCAGAGTTTACTTTTGGGCTTCAAGATCAAAGCTTACGGGTTTAGGGCTGAGGGAAATGAATTTCGGCCCACGACTAACCACCCCTGTTCGCCGTATTCCTGACTCGCCTCCTTGTCTTAATCGAATTATCGCTGAAGGGTGTGTGCTGCGGATCGAAGATGGGGTGCTTTGCGGAGAATGCTTCGGGCCTGCAACCTACGAAACACTCCTTGCGGCATCATGTACAGTCCCCCTTAAGTAGATAGAATATGGGGTATATGGGGATCTTATTATAATATACCCAAACCCATATTCTATCTACTTAAGGTGGACTATGATTCCATAGGGGGCATGGGGCTCTCGGCGAAATAGGGCTCGAGGGCTCGGCGATTTGCATTTGGAGTGTCTGGCATCTTCCCGGTGCACACATAAGAGAGCCTGAAGCTTCATGCCTCTCGTGCTTGTACCAAGTCGGTAAGAGGAGCCGGGACAACCGTACCAAAGTACCGGCAGGAGTTTCCACATCGAACTATGGTTTCCCTTTACACCCAGCAACAAGGAAAGAGCCTTGTCAATCATACGAACACCTCAGCACAGTAGTTTAGAGCCACCATCACATGAGCTATACTCTAAACTCCTGGCATCCCCCTTAATAAGCCCTATAGCACTCCCCTATATAATCCCCTATATAACTCCCTTAAAGGAGTTTTTACGATAGCTCACATGGAGGTAGTCACCATTTTCGCAACCTCTGCTTGCTTGCGCTCCCATGGATGTGCCCTCTGTACACAGTTCCAAGCCTTCCCCAGCTCGGAAGATTGGGCTAAGCACACAAGCTTGCTACTTGCAAGAGTAGCACCACAATTGGTTAAAGCCACACTGTTTATAAGTAATGCCAAAGTAAGGACAATCACCACTGTACTACTCCACATGTAACGGAATATTTCTCATCAGTCAAAGGCGATTTGTACATCACTGTCGGAGCTTTCGTCGCAGTAGGTTGCAGCGCATTCTCCGATAACGCGCACTGCATCCGCTGAGTCCCCCTCCGAATCACTATCCTGATCCAGCAGATTTGGAAGCTCTTTGACTTCAAGACTCATGAATAACCATGAGTGGGGGTGGTGGGGCTTTAATGAGTTAGTGGACGTGTAACCCCACAAAAGCTACCCTGAACCTTCAAGCAACATCCAGTTCCTATCCTATCCGCTTGAAGCATGGCACTGGGACTGAAGTGAACAGGAACTCAAAACCTGCGTCCAAATCAAGCCCAGCATCAAGGATCTGCGCCTCAGGTCGCACCTGGCCGCTCATCGCAAGAGACCCCTGTGATTGAGACTGGTGAGCTTGCTGCTGGAGCGCTGTGCTCCGTACAGTGCGCACTGGCCTGGGGGTATCCGCGACGTCCGGACCGCGGGACACCTTTGGGGCTTCAGCAGCTAATGGAGATACTGACGGAAAGGTTGACGGAGTAGCTGAAGAAGCGGCTGGTGAAACGTGTGATGGAGAAGATGGAAGGGCCTCGGGAGCTGCTAGCAGATCTACAGCAGCCTCCACGCTGTTTCCCACTTTCGCCAGGGCTTCCAAAGCATCAGCCTCGGGGAAACCCATGGCCAGCAGCTTATTGACAGCACCACTTTGGGACATCTGGGCCAGAGGCCTCGCAGTCGTCCTTACCGCTTCCGCACGCTGGCCTTCCTCCCCAAGAAGCCTGGGTTGCGCTTCAGGGATGTTTAAAACCCCATTAGTGCGGGGATCCCCAATAAAGTTTTTTGAATACTGGATACCCGGTTCGATTGGGGGGGCTGGTCCCAATAAAGTAAAGTCTTTTCTGTCGGAAAAATTCTAGGGAAGGTGTTGATCAAATTCTCAAATTAATCTTGAAGAGGTTTTCCATGAGCTTAATGAAACTGTGATTGCTTTTGCTAGGTTTTCAAGATCAGGCCGTTTAACTTAAAGGCCGAGGACCCTGCCTTTCCTATTCTATTGAAAGCTAGACTGAGCAAATCCTTATGGATTCAATGGAAGCCGAAGGATCCCTCTTCCTTCATAGATTTTAATATAAGTAGGAGCCATAGGATCCCCCAGACCCTCTAAATTGTCTTGAGGCCTTTCTATACTACGGGCTCCCTTTTGTTTTTTTGGGGGGCACACTAATCAGGCTCCCACACTCTAAACGAAGTTGCCATAAGAAGGAAACCCATAATGTTCACTACATATCCGCACTATGGTGACTTATGTAACGCTTTTGAATAGCAACCCGCCCTGACCCCAAACCATGAACCCTAAATCAATTAACTCCTCACCAAGAAGCTTGGACTTGGCCGGCAAAGGCCCCTCCGCAATGACCCGGGCAGGAAGCGCAAGCGCAGACAAAGCCCCTTCCTCTTACGGGTGGTTAGCAGGGAAGAAGGGAATATATTCTATTCCCTTATTCCCTACTAACCCCTAAACACTAAACCCCAGACTCTAAACCCTAAACCCTATAATATATTCCCTTATTCCCTAGTAACCCCCAGTACAATCCTAGACCCTTGGCCCTAAACCCCAACCCCTAAGCCCTAAACCCCTTATCCCCTACTGAGCCCCAGTAAGTCCTTCAGTAGCGGACTCTGCTGTTCCTTCAGCTTTGTCAAATTTCGCAAGAAGGCCTGGAGCCTTTGCATCTGCCTGGCTTTAAGGTTTAGGGTTTAGGGTTCAGGGTGTTTAGGGTTTAGGGTGCTCAGGGTTTAGAGTACCTTATACTACTATTGGATCATTTCTAGGAAGACTTATTAGGTTTGGGTTCAGGTCCGCGGAAGTTTCTCAATAAGTTTCGATGATTTTTTGGATTTTGGTGGCTTTGTGGGCCTTTTTCCAGCTCAAATCAGTGGCTTTCGGGTGCTTTTCGGAGCCGATTCGAGCCTTTTGAAACCAATCTGGCCTTTGGAGGAAGAATTGGAGCTTTTAAAACAGTTTTGGGCCTTTTTGGAGACTGGGCCTTTTTGAAGGAATTTGAAACTTTTGGAGCCAAGTGCATTTTGAAGCACATTTGAAAACCTTTTGGAGCCAATCTGGGCCTTTTGAACCATTTTGGGCCGTGTCGGCTCAGGCTAAGGAATAATTTCAGTATACAGGCTGGCTAGAGGGTTTGGGGTTTGGGAGGGCATAAGGGAATATATATATATATATTGAGGATTATATAGGTGGTTGGTAGGAATAAGGGACTATGCTACTTGACGATTATATAGGGATGATCTTCCCTTACTCCCTACTAGCCCTCAGTAAGTTTACCGTTATGACGTCCATCATCTATTGGGCTTGTCTCTTCATATGCAAAGAGCATGTTCAGCATCGACCCAGCTACCTGTTGGTGACAGCATCTTGCGCCAGGACCCAGCTGCAATAGTCGCAGTCATCGTCTGCCACCTCCTGAAATGTCAGCTGCTTGTACTTCCCGAAACCTGGCAAGTCTCTTTCGAAACTTGGACCTAGTTTAGGGCTGAGGGGTTCCAAACAATCCTCTTGCTAAGGCTCTTGCAACTACCACCACGACTAGGAAGGCGGACACTGTCATTATCTGGAGTCAACAGCCTGGACTGGCAAAGAGGTCACAATCCAGACTACAGAAAACAAAGGAAAACGAGTGATGACAGCCCTGACCTCAACACCTTCTCACTGAAGCCATCAAGCTCACCCAAAGCGCTCAACGTTCTGAACTGACACTCCGCAACACGGCCTGAACAGAGATTGCCATTCAATTTAGCTGGGTGGTTTTCAAAGTCATCCACACGCTGCTTTCCCAGCAAATCGGGGGGAGGGGGGAAAAAAAGGAAAAAACGTTTACCTCTGAAATCCCCAAGCGCACCATAGGTGAGCCCAAGACAAGCTGAAACAAAAGCTACCGTACTCCACCTTACGGCTTCACGTTGGAGGAGGGCTAGCCTGTGCAGATCTAGGCCCCTAGTGCAAACAGGCACAGCCCCAATATGGCGATCCAAAAAAAACAACGCTCCATCGTTCTGTCAACAGCGCGCCGCATAAACCGCAAATCGTGGGAGTTTGGGTACCCAAAGGCAGCGGCGGCGGCGGCGGCGGCGGCGGCGGCGGCGGCGGCAGCAGCAGCAGCAGCAGCAGCTTCAGCTTCAGTTTCAGCGCGGCTCGTACCTCCCAAAAACGCTTACACGCCTTCATGAACACGCGGCAGAACTTCATAAGCTCCAGCAGCCCCGCCTTCTTGAAACACAAACAACGGTATGGCTTGGGGATGGATGCTCTGGTCATTGAATTGTATGTGCTTGGAACACGAATGCTACTATGTTTGGGCATGGATGCTTTGGTAATCGTATGTGCTTGGAAGACGAACACTATCATGGCTGCATGAATGCTTTGGTAACGGGGCGTGCTCGGAACATGACCATTGTTATTATCATGGTTTGGACATGGATACTCTGGTAGCCGCACGTGCTGGGAACACAAACGTGAGTGTGGCTTGGGCATCGATGCTCTGGTAACGGTATACGCTGGGAACACGAAACTCATTCGGACGCTCTGAAATACGAGCGTTGTTGTGCCAGCATGGGCGTGGATGCTCTGATAGCTGTATGTGCTTGGAACGCAAAACAATATCGAGGCTCGCGTGTGCATGATTGCGACAGCATGCTGCCCAAATGGGATGCGCTGGGAACACGCATGTTGCTGCGGGATGCCACATGACATCAGAATGCCTGGTGGCCACAGTGTTACAGGCCCGTCCAGGAAATAGAAAATGCTTTAGGAGGAACCCCACCCTGTAGTAGTGGTATAACAGGAATCTAAGAGAGACCTGATAGAATCCCTATTATCCCTTATCTAGTAGTTTTCATTTTCCTTTCCGGTATCCCCATATAACCCACCTACATACGCTATAATCCCTATGTAACCCATTATAGTAGTCTCCATTTGTTCCATTATCCCTATATTTGGTCACAACTACTGGGTGTGGGGTCCACCTAAAAAAGGCCTTTCGCGCAACGCAGGGCAATCCCAAGGGTTCTGTCAGAAGCGCACTCTTCGCATGTTTACGGTTGCAGGGTCAAAACCCATAAAAGGAGTTAAGGGTTTAGGTTAGGTGGATCCCCCACCCTGTAATAGCGGCTATAAGGGATAATAAGGATTATATTAGGCCTACTATACTCCTAGTAGTTTAGGGTTGTCTGAAAACTACTACCAACTCCAGCGTCAAGCAGAGACGGCAGCAACTTGATCCCCCCCATGTCCCAAGGTTTACGGCTCTTTTAGGGTGTAGGGCTTTGGCAAAGTGACTCTAACTTGTCTACTTATGGAGACAAAGTCAAAAACTTGAAGTTCAAAAATCCCAATCACACTCAAAACCTCCATCCTCACAACCAGACGCGCCAGATTCACCAACAAAAAAAGGCACACCGAATCCCTGAAAACTTACGTCCTTACACAAACCCCCAAGCTCAGAACGCTTCGAGTTCTAAAGCTCAAAATCTCAGACAAACCCAAGACAAGGAACCCACTTTCATGGAGCTCAGCTCTCGATGCACAGCTTCGCGGTCCACTTCGCCGCGGCTACGTCCATCGCTCCCCAAGAGGACCTCCAGGCTCTTAGCTGAATGAGCAACTCTTTTGGGACCAAGGGGGAGGAGAAAAAAATCCCTGCACGATTTCGGGAACGGTAACGTCTTTTAGTGGAATACAGGAAAAGAAAATGAAAAACTACCCGTATTGTTTGAGGTGCAGGTTTCTTGTTTTTCAACCTCTTCAGAACTTTACCTGCGTTAAGGGGTTTAGGGTTTTAGGGGTTCGGGTTTAAGGTTTGGGCTTTGCGGTTAAGGATTTGGGGGTAATAAAGGTGATACGGTAGGAATATTTCTCAAAGGCAGAACATTATTATGGAAGGCAGAGCATGGCGCAGGGCATGGAGTGTAGGGCTTCAGGGTTCATGTTGAAGCCTTGAATTGAAAGAAGAAGGGGTTGGAATTCCCTGCTTTCCCCACATCAGGTGTCCTGCACTTTATTCAGATGCACCCGGGACAGTCCAATAACAGCCTTGAAATTCCTGAACCCTGATGACGCCACTCTAGCCCGTGCAACAGCCATAGTGTAGATTCTAGTTTGGCGAAGCTAGAGTCCTATTTCTGACGGCAGGCTGTCGCAGCACCTACCCACTTATCCTGAATTCAGTCAGAAATGGCAAAGCAAGGCAAGCTCCAACGGCAGCTGAAGTCCAACGAAACTTGCATTCGCATGTACAGTAAGCTTGTATTGAACTATGGGGGTAATATTGTGGTAATATTGGGGTATTATTGGGGTAATATTGGGGTTATATTAGGGTTATATTGGGTTGTCTACATGTTTTGAAGACCTCAAACAAGAACTCGTAGCTTTGATAAACCTCTCCTGGGCCTACCACGTGAGGACTTTTGGCTCATCTTCCACCCTGTGCCACACCCCAAGCATAGCTCACAAGTGTAACAATTAAGAAGTATACTTGGAGGGTCATGGGGACTTAGGAAGTAGGTCCATGAAGGGGATCATTGGGGTTGTTATATGGCTAATAGGCGTTCTCCCCATGACCCTCCAAGTAGCATCTTTGGGGAATCCGGTGCAAAGCATCCCATGCTTGAAGAGCTGGTGAAAACGGTCCCTAGGCAACCCTGAAGCGAGACCACATATCTTTGAATTACCATTGTTGAAGAAACCCCCCCGTCTGTGTTGGGGCTCAAGACTCGCACGCTTCAGAAAAACCCTAAACCCTGAACCAACCACGCGCATATTTGAGAAAGCCCCTGCCCTTTCATAGCCAGACGATGGCTGCTTGCGCTTCAGGGCAATCATTCGGTTGCAAGAGGCCGCGCTCAGGATCTAGGATCTTTCATGTCCCCCCAGTCTGCGGGGCGCCCCCGGCACCTTGTTGATCCTAGGGATACCTCCCAGCTTTGAATCGATTGCTTCTCATCTCTTCAGGGCGGCTACTACGAGACATTGTTCAAGGTTTAGCATTTAGGGTTTAGGGTCTTAGAAAGAGCTTGATGCATCTCAGGCGAGCTCCGCCCATCTACACGGAAAAACTTCCCCTTCGCGCAAAGTTTTGACTCCTTGCTGCGTTGCAGGGCCGACAGACTTGAAGGAATGCTGGGCATAGATCGATGCATCCTGCATGCTTCCTTGCCCCATGTTGTACTTTTTACGACCTGACCTTGAGCCAGGAAGGCGATGCGGCTTATGGGCGCTTACACCGAAGCATTCTCATGTCTTCGCAGATCCCCCAAAGGATCCCAAAGATCCACGATGTAAACCCAGAATGAGCCCAAACATGATCCCAATTCTCCAAATCTACACAAAAAGATCTAGTCTTTGGTTTGTCTGGAGGTCCAACGTATAATCATTTGAAGGATCTACTAATCGTCTTGCGACTGTTGCAAGTGACTATCATGATTTTGAGGTGTACCATACGTGCCCCAGACATCCCCCCCTTAATCCTGCGTCAAGGGTCTTGCATGGCATGGACCTTTGGAGGCTTGAGAGCTCAGGCTTACACACTCTATGTCAGGCTCCGCGTTTGGGCTTTTGATTTTAGAGTGTGGGCTTGGATTTTGATCTAGCGTTTAGTGGGTTTACGACCTGCAACGGAACTGGTAGATGGTTTCCATGTTCTTTTCCATCCCTTCAATTCCAAAGCCTTTATTTACGAACCCTAAACCCCTAAACCTTAAAACCCTAGACCCTAAACCCTAAAAAGGTAAACCCCTAAACCTGAAACCCCTAAATCCTGAACCCCTAAAGCCTAAACCCTACTCCCTGAAACACTCCTCCTTGATCTTGGCATTCTGGTCCGCCCAGGCCTTCTTCCTGGCGGCGGCCTTCGAACACTCTGGGCCCTGAATTCGCTCGGTTGCTGTTAAGGAACTTAAATTAAGTATCCCAAGATTGGGTATATAGAGTAAATGATAGGTTTTCCCCAATATAGTAACTTAATTGAAGTTGCTTATTGCGTAGGAGCTTGGGGAGTGAAGGCCGGAAATTGTACTTCTTCAACTGTCCAGGGTAAAGGGCCGGTGGCCCAGGCAGAGCCGTGACAATTCAGGCATGTCTTGGAAACGTCTCTCAACCCAAGTATAGTTTTCGGGTATAGCGTTTAGGGCTTAGGGTTTAGGGGTACAGAGGTCACCTGAAGGTGTGGCTTTGGGGTAATCCGAACCCGAAGATGTATGCAGATTGTAGGGGCATTCTGGGAGTCCGCACTTAGAATTCTTTGCGGGTAGCTGGGAAAATTCCACTAAAGCATGGCGTGGGTCCCCTAACAACTCGAACGGCACCATGAAATACCATGGGCAGTTCCTCAACTTGCGGTACTTTTCCTTGCAACTTTGCCTTTAGCGCACCTAATCCTCAACCAGCCATTACATTATCTAAGGCATTCCTTCTAGGGATGCACTCCCCGACCTTTCCCTGGTAGCACCATAAACCGACTGTCTGAGCCATCAAACTCAAGAGGTAAAACCACATAAGAGGCGCACCGACAGTTGTAGCATGTAGAGAAGGACGTGTGTCATGGGGAGCTTGCGTCCAGACAGTGGTGTAGAGCTTCGTGATTTTAGTTAGGTGCTTTCTCTGGAAGCTACATGTGGCAACCTCGGCGTCTTCGGCTTTCACACGCGCAACGCACATCTCGCGGATCTTTGCGATTTGTGCCGACCTGCGTTCCGTCAGTTTTGTAACCACGCTCATCATGCTGCCCTCATTTCCTGATACTTGGGATTATGTATGGATTTGTTGCGGAGGGATTGTATAGGAGCTATACGGGGATATTGAAGCCGTGTACATCACCGTTGAAGTGTTTGTCGTCAATTATCTCAGCCCGGCCATTCCCATGGTGATGAAACTCTCAACACCCCAGTAAGTCTTTCTCGATACAGTACCTAGTGTTAGGGTCTGCGGGGGGGCGCCAATATAGACGACAAAATACTATAATCCTCCAAGGGACCCGCAAAAAACTCCCTCAGTTTTGGGAAAGCCCATAAAAACATATGCATATGTATATGTATATATATATATACATAAATTATGTACTGGCGGACTATCCCTAAACCCCCAACCCTAAACCCTAGGCGGGTGGAGGTGACTTCGACTTGCCTCGCTTCTACGACTGTGGAGATCATGACTGCCCCCATATAAGAAAGGGCCTATGCAGCGGTATATGAGCTATAGTCTAA